TACGGAGAAGCTGCATGTTTCTGCGGAGAAGAGGTGCCCCGTTCGGGCCACCGCATCGTGTTTCACACAAATGCTACGCGTTTCCGCGGAGAAGCTGCAGTGTTTCCACAGAAAAGCTGCGTGTTTCCACGGAGAAGATGCGTGTTTCCACGGAGAAACTGCATATTTGTACGGAGAAAAGGCTTTTCGTCACAGAACAACTGCAATATTCCACGGAGAAGTTGGATTTCCATGGAATAACAACACATTTGTACGGAGAAGGTGCAAGTTTCTACGGAGAAGGGTTGGCCCGTATGGGCCACCGTACAGATGTCAGATTTCCGATGTCAGATTTCCGATCGTCGTTGATAGCCACAAAATAGAATATTAATGAGCTGCCTAATTTCCCCCCAATTATCCATAAGGCTCCTGCAAATTTTACCCAAATTATCCATACATAGCCTTCCATTTTGAGGAAAATTCGGGAAAATTGAACAATTTTACAAGGAATTTCGCATGGAAGCAGCAACCTTCGCAATTCGCAAATCGCAAGTTTATAAAAGTTTATACGTTTGACTGCGCTGCTTTATATTTTGAGAAGAAAGCGACACCGTTCGATTCAGCGTAAGAAATTGTACTTACGAATGTCAAGTGTATTACTAAACACCCGTATTCTAGCGATTTATGGCCTTTGAAAATGAAGCGAAATTGTATTGTTGAAAAATCGCTCGCCGTACGTATACTTGTTGATCACAAATCACTCGCACTACGTTTGTCCACAGGTTTGTCCTTATATTTGTAATGCATAATGGCGCAATAAGGATAAAAATACCACCGTTCGATTCAGCGTAAGAAATTGTACTAATTACGAATGTCAAATGTATTACTAAACAACAGTGTTCTAGCGATTTATGGCCTTTGTCTTTGAAAGCCAAGCGAAATTGTATTGTCACCAATCACTCAAAATTATTAAACTAATTATAAAAAAATGCAGTACGTTTGACCCTTGATAACTTTGGTATCATTGGTTTTCTCTTTTTCGGCCGTATACCAGTGGATTCGTCTCACTTCTCGCTTCATTTTGATAGTATTTTGAGCCCAAAAGCCCCAAAATATTTTATTTTGAACGTTTTAAAGCGCAGTTTAATCCTAGACCAACTGGCGGCTGACAGTTTTGAAGAAGAATGTAGCGTACTAAATATAACTTTACTTGTAGGGCCTACCGCATTTTAGTACTGTGTTATTAAGCCTTTCGCGCTCGTGTTCGACTTTTCCGCTTAGCTCGGGAAAGAGCTGTGTACTGTATGTATCATGTACATTGTACAGTAGTGTGCGTGAGTTGTACAGCCCCAGCGAGTTAACGCTCCGTAGAGCGTCTTGTTCATGTTATTTTCTAGTTGAGTCGGTTTTCTTTGATGTACCGCGGGATGTATACAGGTTATACCCGTGAATAAATAACTAGATTAAACTTGTCGCCAAAACTCGAAAAAATCTTGTTCGAAAACCTCCTCAACTAGAAAATTTATTTAACTTCGCCATTGTCATGCATTCATGGCAGGGTCACCACAACAGTATGGTATCAATTACTGTGGGCCCCCAAAAAATAAGTCGGTTATATAGCTCGAGCCTGGGATTTAAGTCATAAGTCGTGTTTACACTACCAGCCTTGGCCTACATTTTGACAGTGTAAACAGACTTTGGCCTAGCCTTGGCCAGGAAATCTGGGCCCATTACAACCGGTGGCCTAGGCTTGTGGAACTGTAAACACTTTCGGCCCTGGCCTTATTTTCACGGTAACGTGTGTCCACAGTGAGAGATTAGCGGACGTCACAACCCATAAAAATACACAAAATTAATTACAACATTCTAGGCCAAAGTGAGTCATGCAGTCTCAAAAAAACAGTGTAATGGTGTAAATGCGCCACATTTACCTTGGTCTGGCCAAGGCCAGGTCAAGGCTTGTAGTGTAAACACGATTATATCACATTTGTGTCGGTTTTCTTTGATCGTCCGAGGTTTATAACTAGCTTATAGACCTTGAATAAATGATTTTATTATTTATTTAAAAAATTCCTGGTTGCTGATTGGCTAACAGCCAACTGTGAAATTGTCATATCAACTCTATGGCTAACCAAATACGGATTTTTCACATTCATATTAGCAAAATGACGTCAAAGAGTCAATATGAAAAAAATTTGGACGCGTTGCGCCATATTACTCGAACGCTACGCGTCCTCGGGGGCAATATATCAGTTATAAACCTCCTACTCGGTTTATAACTCTAACTTATATATTTGTAGCATGCGAAGAGTCTGGAGTTACGATCAGTTCATTCAAGATAAACAATACAAAAATAATAATACACCTTTTCGATAATTACGTCATGAATACTTCCTTGGCATTGGGGCTCACTTTCATGAATCTTAACAAAAGGTTATTCGCTTACTATTTGTGAGAACAAGGAGCCATTTTTTCGTTATTGAAAGGGTGTGCCCAAAATATTAAAGTGCGTCCCCGCGCGGGCAACGCGACCGTAATAGATCCGGATTTATTTTTAATTTCCTAATAAATAAAATCTACAAATACAATTTTCTACATGCTCATAGTGTTGTAAGCTTTGCTGTATGTGCATTGTGTGCATTATACGTTGTACGTTACATTAGGGAGTTTAAGATATGGAAGACGCCAACTTAAGGACGACGGTTATCAACACAATGAAATTCATATAGTCCAAAAGAAATTAATAATTGAAAGCGTTTTGGAAGTTTAAGACGTCATCTAGGCTCTGTTTACAATGGCAAAATTAAGGTAAGGCGGTTAACAGAAAAAGCGAGTAGCATGTTTTCAAATGTATTTTCAAATGTGTTTTAAAAAAACGATTCACTCTGTTTTTTTGGGAGTTTTTTCGGATGGTTTTCGGTTTCTCATCGGAACCGCCTCACCATAGACAAAACATCTATTATCAAGCTTACATCATGTTGTACACGACACTAGCATTTCATAACAGGCTTGAGCAGAGTTCTTCTCAACGGTGCAATGCAATGTCTTTGAAATTGTATTACACACAAGACAGGATTTCCACACAATGATATAGGTCAGTGAGTTTGTTAGGCCGTAATTGTTTGTCCTTGCGTTGGTGTCCACCATATATATTACCCTATATACTGTGACGGTGATAGTCATGATTGTCATAATTGATTTAGACGACGAGAATAACGAGAAACTCAGTCATGAAGGTCATAAACTCATTCGTGAATGTCGTAATTGACATTTTCGCCGAGGTAATCATCATCAGGTTCATCATGTGGTGGTGATGGTGTTTTTCGGACTTCTCCATGCGCCTCTTTTTGTTCTTCAGGAAAGTACACTAAAAATATCATTACAAACTTAACTAGCAAAATTTGATGTTAGCATGCATGGGCGAAAACGTAGGCAAGCGCTAAAATATTTTAAAGTTGAAAATTTTAAAAATTCGAAGAAAGTAACTAACATACGTATAGTAGTATACTATATACAAAACAATACTTCCTTAATTTTAAAACTATATATGCTCACTATAAGTTATGCATGGGAATTATGGAAATTTCGCACAAGCGTACATTTCAGGACTGCATGAAATTCAATTATGACAATATATAGAACAATAAATAAACTATAGATTTCCAATATCGTAAAGAACGAGTCATAAACATTGATGATCCCTTTTGTTTCAGAAAGCCAATCACATGCAAAACGTTTTCAAAATTATTAGGTAGACAATTAACTGAATTTTATCTTTAGGCTGTGTTCACAGACACATGAAGTGCATATTTATATTCCTATCCATGGTAGACGGTAGATGTCTATATATTCCCTTTGCAAACTATAGGAAACATTGTTGTGGGTCATCATTTGAAAACTTCAATATGTCTTTGAAGTTTCCCTATTTGCCCATCTTCAGAAACAATTTGAGGGAAACAAACTTTTGTAAACGAAAAATTCGTTGTCTCGAACATGATTCGAACTCGCATCTTCGGGTTTCTAGACCGCCGCTGATTCTCAATACATATCATTCTGTAGTGTCAGAATATATAAAACTAAGTTTTTCATATCTCGGAGGATAGTTCTGAAACAGATTTGAAATACTGCGCGTTAAGTCTTGGCGAAAATATTCGACTTAGATAAGACTCGCTACCAATCCCCGTTGACTCGATAGCTCAATGACAATGGGTAGAGCGGAACAGGTAGGCAATTTGTCGACGCTGACCAAAAATAGCGGCTCATTTCTTCTTTGAGTTTCCATTTTCGCGTCGAAGAGCAAAAATATAGACTTTCGAAGAATATTTTAGCTGTTTACTATCAAATATGTTTGTGAAACAGTTAATAATTTCACTGAAGAAGGCCAACGGTTTCTGAAAAGCCAAAGTACGTCGAAATCAGCTTTGGAATAGACTGTATTTTCACCGGGGAAACATGAACAAAATGGATATTTACATCAACACTAAATTTTGCTGGTGCCTACAGAGCTAGTTGGATTAAAACAGATGTTAAGAAGTAAGTGAAAATGTGAACTTTGTGAATTATACTTTCATTAAAATGTTTCAGAAGGTCTGTTATTGTCAACTACACGTGTGACAGAGCTGCCAGTATACCCATATTTCAATGTTTATGTTGAAATGACCTATCTTCTTTGAGGTATAGCTTAAAATTTAGGGTATGCTCATCACTTGAAACTAGCTTTAAATCAAAGTTTTATCTATAGTCTTTATATTAGAATTAAAATCATTCATGGGAAAAATGTGCCAAAGGATTGGAATTGCCCTTGTAAATGTACACTATTTTTGACATGCTTGGGTTAGTATTTTGAAAAGGTGTTCTGGAAGGAAAATATGTCTTGAACAATACTGGTTGACCCTTAAATTATAACTAGTGTTATGTAAATCACAGAAAATTGAAAAAAATCTGATCCATACACAATATTTTGGACCCTATGAGATCCCGAATGGGGCTTATTTCAATGTTGAACCTGTTTACCTGGAAAAACTTAGAAAATTGAATAAGTCAAGAAATTGACTATGCTCATCACCCAAAACCAGGTTTTTCTAATTGCTTTTTCACCTGGGTTTGTGGCAATGCCAGTTATGCGACCACGAAAAATGCGCGCGGCACTTTTTTTGGACACTGAAGATGGTAACATTTGATGTTGTCATATATTGCCATCCTCTTATCGTAGCATAACTTAACTTATTTTAGTGAATTTGTTAAAGAGTTGTGTTCACTATATGCTTGTAGTATCTAAGATTTTTTCATAGCATTATATGATAAATTTAAGTTCTGTTTTCTTTTATTTTTGGGTGATAGTATCTGTTCATTCCAGTGTTGGTATCAAATTTTGGACAAGTTTCAATTATTATTTCACATTCCTTTATTCAAATATCCAAATAAATAGAATATGACATCAAGCTGGAGGACTAGATCCTGTTTTCAAACTTGTTTTTTGTAAAAATAGAAAATAACAACTTATTCTGTGTTGTTCTAATAAAAACCATTGTTTTTTATATATATATATATTAATTTTATTCTTTGTTAAAATGTGTACCTGGAATACTGAAATCTTTCAGATCAGCTAACAACACCTTTATAGCTTATATAGCCAAGTGTTCTATCTATTTTTGTTCAGATTAAACAAATAATGGGTAAAATATTAGATAAATTTTTTTCAAAAAATATGAGCTTGCCTGTTTTCAAAGCATAAAAAGCAATAAAATAAAGCAAAAGTACTTATTTTTATTTAAAACCTTTGGAATGCACAGCTTAATGTTTTCCACGAAATATTACAAAGTTTCCGTTCATTAAAATGTTGTTTTATCAGCTTTAAAACCAGATAAATCCTCGAAACACTCCTGATATATGTCGCCATATTGATTTTCTGCGCGCATGCGCAGACAAATTGCCTACCTGTTGTAGAGCGGCGGTCTAGAAACCTCAAGAAAGCAACTTTGCTTCCTAGGAAGTAATTGACTTAAATCATTCAGATTGAAACATATTTTGTTTCGCAAGTGCAATTTTTGATGTACATGCATGCATGAAACCATGTTTTCCCGTTTGTCCGGTTTCATAAAAATGGCCAAGAAACAATACTTCCTGGTTTGCCCAGGAATATGGAACAGGTGCAGACAGCATGTTTCGATAATGAAATAGTTTAGTGATTGTATATTACCTGCCTCACGCAATCCTTTCCCAAAATTACTCACAACAGTCCACAAATAAAAGGAAACCAAACATCGTGTCATCAAAAATAAACAGGCTGGTTAAAATGAGAAAGAGACATTATATTATTTGCTAGCTACTGTACAAATGTGGACCTCCTATTCTGTATTATAACTATACCAGGAATTTACAGACCATGTTTTCATACATGCATTGCAGGGTGCAACTAAATTGAACTACTTGCCACCAAATACCAGATCAGCAGATGGTTGACCACCATCCAGAATACTGCTTAGGAAACCCATCTATAACCTATGCATCCTCACATCCTCACCTCTTTTTAGCTATCATCGTAAGCTTATAAAGGGTAAAGGCTAAGCATGACGAACAATCGGTCTCAAAGGCATATACATAACAGAATAACGGATAAGAAAAATGCTTTAGTGAATGAACTATATATTATCAGTCACTCACAAACTTTTCCCATTGAATTTAAAGTTATGAAAATATTAAATAAATATATCTTACCGCAAGCAATGATGGATACATTGATTGTGTTGCTTTGCTTATTCCAGTCCATCCCAGTCTAAATCAAGTTAATGTGAGAATGTAAAATTGTAATGTACATCACTAATGTCTAATGTCTATTAATTCAAATATAATTCAACATTCAAGGGAGCCGCCGAAAATAAAGCCATAAATTAATGCCGCCAAAAATAAAGCAATTCTGCGACTGCAATTCTTGGGCGACGATTTTTGTAGACACTACTGTACCTTCTTGAATTCAATTGATTCTTCTAAAAATTTTGCTGCTATGTTTATCAACAGCTGGGTATACATATGGTTGAGTTAACTTTTTTATTATTCTGCTTATTAGTTGCGTTTTACGACGTTGATCTAGGCGCCGTAGCGGTACAAATATACTCTATTCTTGAAGTTCGAATGTCGCTGAACTGTAAAGTATCGACGCTGTAAAATATCGACGGCAATTTTTTACCGACGAGAATTTAGCAAAATTGCGAGGACTGAAAATTAAGAGTAGTTTCGTATTTTCAATTGTTTTTCATCTTTGTCATCTTTACTGCGAAATGCAGTATTGCATATAAAAAGCACATTATTTATTTAAATTTTGTGCTTGTATTTCTGCACTGACATTATGCACACAAAAAATTTTAAATTTCTATTAATGGTTAATTGAATGGTTTTTAAAGATTTACCATGTATATGCGATTTCAGGGACCGCTTTTGTTCCTGTGATGGGTGTCCGGAATTGTCGCGGGCGCGGAAACGTGCAATTAAAAATGAATTGCACAGCTGCTCAAATTTATCCTCAAATGCACAATTGTGCTAATTAAAAAAATTTGATTATCGTGAAAAATTGACTAAAATGATATTAATTTAATACCTAAATATATAGCAAAGTAACTAAAGGGTCCCCGAACATTTGAAGGCTTCCTGCTCGGACTCAATGCAGGTACATCCAAGAATAGCTATATATATGCTTTGTTAACAAGGGAGTCTAAAACTTCATAAGCTTTATTTCTTTCTCCCTTTCCATTGAGCTTCCTCAGCAGTGTCATTGCATACTTATTACACTTAGGCCTAAAAGCTTGAATGTAAATATGATTGATAAATATGTTATTCAGGTCAGTGGAAAAAAATTCAATAAAAAACCTCAGCGTCCACTACTGCATGTAAATGTGAGGGAAGCGCTGATTCCACAGCAGCTGTGGTATGGTCCAGAAATGCTGACAGGGGGAGCTCTCACGAGGAGTGTTGTGACAAGCCGTGGGGTGATAAGGAGTCGCGGGTATAAAAAGATGAACATGGAAAGTTCCAATATTCATTTTTCGCTCTAGCAAATGAATTCTTCAATGAGTATTTTTTGAAGAAAAGAATTGACTTGACCTACGAAATTCCGACTAGAGCAATGATCTAATGTTAGGATCACAGTAATGAATTACAGATTAATAAAATCATTATAATATCATTTCAACATTACAGTTCTAAGGATATTTCCAGGCTATGATTATGCAATCGGCAAAATATTAGGGGCTCAGTCCCTCCTAATTTGAGTCTGTGTATATTTGTAAGAAAAGGGCTGGACTTGCGCATCTCGCAAATTTAGAACTGGTACAGCTGTATATTGGAGATTTCTAACAGAAAATACAAATATAAGAAATGGATTCTATCTGGTAGCTAAAGGAGCTTGGTCATTACCTGGATAATCTTGTATAAAACATAAGCTGGCTGAGGAAGACTGAAAATTAAGAAAACATATACCCATGTCTTCTGTTCGTATTTTGGCTAAACAAAGAATAATGGATTACGAGATTAGCAAGATGAGCTGGTGGATCTACAGTAACTTGCAGTAAGTCAGAAAATCCTTGGTTCTCAACAAACAAACCTACGGTATACCTTCAATCTGTGTGTATCGACATGTCACAGCTGGTATTTGTTGTAACTGACAAAGGAGCTACAGGTATATTTACATGATGCCAGTTTGCCGGGATCTTTAACTGGGACGGAATGGAAGGCGGGATAATTTTGTTGTATTGAAATAGGTCATTGGGCTTCAACGAAAATTCGTACGCCAGTTAAAGAAACTGAAATATCTTCTTGAATCATGAGTTCTTCTCGCCAGTGTAATTGCTGCCGCTTGAATAACCTTTCATTTGCAATTATATACTGCAATCTATCACTAGGAAAATAATGCAGTTTTGCTGAATCATGAACGGTGACTTATTTCAATACACAAAAATTATCCCATCTCACATCTCGTCCTGGCCAAGCGGGATTATGTGAACGGCCCCTAAATTAGTCCTAGTTGTCCTGGACGTTTCGCGAGGTTTGAGAACTGACGTCCAATTGTCCATTTATCTGGCATCACTTTCTTGACTTTTTGTACACTTTTCATTTTATAATTTTCATGCTTTCAATTTTTTTTCTGACAAATTTATGCTTAAAATATTACATTATGCTTATAATTATTTGGTCTAACTTCTATACATTGTTTCGTGTACAAGAATCATATAAAAGGTCCCGTTAAATAGTGATACAGATGCCTATAAGCAGGACCGTTATTTGCAGTATAGGTTGTTTTGAGAAAGGCCCGAAAATGATATGCTGTAGCTTTCTTGACTTGCTCGAAGTACTACTTTCCATGAGTTCTGTTTGGCTCATGGGGCGAAATACAACTCTAAAAGGCTGTAAACATCAACATGTTTACACAAATATCAACATGTTTAACCTACCACAAGGTAACCAACGATAAGCCAGATTATTCCCACAAATATTCCAACAAAAAGAACGACATATTCTCCAGGGTTTACTTTCTCCAGACCAGAAGTCAGGACCAACACGATCAAACTGAGCTACAGTTTTGAAACAAGAAATTTGAGTTACCGTAAATAATATATTTCGGTAACATCCTGGGGAGCTTATTTCAGTCATAATTGAGCTACATATAGGGCAGGGGTGGAAACCATCCCTTGAATTTAAAACCATGGTCATGCAACTATGACACTATATATATACAGCAGGAACAGGTTTGGAGAAAATTTTTATCTCTATAGGTTGTGCTCCCAGGAAGAAAATAGTTTTATTCAACCCTGTAATCGAGGGAGGGGAATTTTGTTTGAGAGGGCCGGGCTCATTGCAACAATGCGCGTTAAATAGAAAATGTGATAAATTAATGTGAATTTTCAGGTCAATCAATATAAATCTAATTTGGTTTATATCTTTGTTGAGAAGAGGGAAGTGGGGGAGGGGAAGTTTAATAACTTATTCCTCTCCTCCAAAAAGGGAGGGGTGTATGGTCATCATTGCGTAGAATTTTGAAACTTGAGTGATCCCACTTAGCACTAAACCTAACCTCATTCATAAAAGCAAACTCTCATAATTTACGGTAATAATAATCATAAGAGAACCCACAGCTAGGGCTATACGAAGATACGGACGTGAAGTACAATTTTCTCCTGAGTACTCCATGATCATAATTCCCAAACAGTATAGACAGCGTTTCTGTATATATGAGGGCTCTTGGATTAGTCCCAAACCTGAAAAGGGGAGTAAAATGCGAGAATGGCACAAACATAAGAAGCGACTAGGTCAATATTTACAACATCTCAATTCGTTACTAGTTCTGTGCCGCGATATCCATATCAGTATATCGGCTCTAGATATTGGTAGCTTTTGTTGCCGACATTTCCGATATTGTATATTATAATAAATCTATAAAACATATTTGACAAGCAAAATCGTCTGGCGTTCGACAGGGTAAAATAATAAAGGAGCGCGCATCAGGGCGCATTGCCACTTAAAGGGTTACATCATTGGCCAGTCTCAACCGATGAATTTTCCAAGCCCAAAGGTTATTTCGAAGTGAAATAGAATATCAGTATCGGAATATCGTTAAATTCCCATATCGGTGCATCACTAAGGGTTGCTATATGTACAGCATGACTGGTTAAGAGCGCGTGAGCGATTTGCTATATCCCCGCCTTCTTAGTGGTTCTGATCGCGGCATTTTTACACCCTCTCCCGGATAACTCTATTTTAATTATTTTTAAATACTGAGTGTAGGTTTATTGCTAGATATTGTAAGATTGCACACTACTACACTGTCATGTATCTTTGCATGTTAAACCATTATTTTACTGCAAGCACATACCGCCATTTCAAATTCAAGTATTAGCAATGTTTGGAATATGAACATGTTCATACACATATCTAAAAAAAATATATTATCATGAAATATAATTGACAACGATAATAAACACGGTTCCATTTAAAATGGAACTTTTAGTATTATTCAAGGCCGTTAAACGGAGGAAATTAATAACAACAAGTACTACATATTCGCAAACTCGGATCGCTGAGTATACGAGGTTGTTATTCGAGCTATATTTACGTTGTCCTTTGTTAACATTCAATCGTATAGTATAGAATAAATGCAACGGATTCCCAGGCAGTTACTCAGCCTAAGTCAATAGCCTAAATATAGACCAACATTCAGTAGTAGGTTTAATTAAGGCCTAAAAAAATGTTCGATTCCGGTTTCCCCAGCGATCCTACCTCATGACACCCGACCCTATTTTTATATAATTCTTTGGTGGCAAAATATAGAAATCGTTTCCAGACTCCAGTATTCATTGAAATGTGTGTGTGTTTTATCACACACATGACAGACAATATGTGAGACGCTTTTTTGCACCAAATGTTATAAAATGTGTAATGACGAAGCATGAAAACTGTGTCAGTGAACAGTTCACTGTAAGAAGCAAGTTAAAATTATAATTGTCTCGAAACATTTTTATTTATATTATTAAGCCGTAATAAGATGGTTTCTCGTGAAATTTGGGTAAAACAAGCACTCGTGAGATTTTCAAAAACCTCAAACAGCACTCATCCTTCGGTCTCGTGCTACAGAATTTTGTTACTCTATGAAAAACACACTCGTTCATGTTGAAACCATCAAGTTGCACTTGAAATCCATCCTGTTACCTATACCAATTGAATAAAAATATTGACAAGCCATTTGAATAAAATCCTCCGACCTACCGAAGCATGAAACCGGGACCAAACAATGTTTTTTATGCCTCTACTCAGCAGTAAGGGGCACCCACCGCGTTGTTTCTGTGTTCTAATCAAAACGATAAACAAAACCCTCGATCAAAGTGAGCAACTTACTTTGAAACTTTATATTAGCAGAATGCAGTGTTCGGATGATAAGATTCTTCGAAGTATAATGTTGCATTGAAATTTTGAAACAGAGGATAAGGTTAACTGGCGCAAAAACCAACACCACAACCAGACGAATCTATAAATAATAATAACTTATTAAAGGACGATTAAACAGGATGTGTCTGCCAAGTTCACCAAGCCTGTAGTTCATAAGATACATGTTCATAATCCTGCACTCCCAGTTTCCCGACTGACCCGCGCTTTTTTTTACTTCCCATGCACCCTGTTATTTTGGGTGTGGTTGAGGTTGTTTGCTTATCTACTGTACCGACCTTACTTTGCTTACTTTATAATAAAACGTGAGGCCAAAGATGACGTCCGTTGTCAGTTCTTGCTTTTTAAAAGGTTATTGTCAATTCCTGATCACACTCATGATTAATGTCAAGCAAACTTAGGGGCTGATTACATGGAGAGTTTTCAGCCCGGGCTGAGTTTCAGTCCGGTTTCCCGGGCTGAAATTTCAGCCCGGCCTAAGGATAAAATCCTAGTAAAACACAGCAAGCGATTACATGACCAAAATTCCAACCCGGGCTGAGTTTCAGCCCGGGCTGAAATTTCAGCCCGGTTTGAGCTACCCGGGCTGAAATTTCAGCCTGAAACTCAGCCCGGCATGCATGTAATCGCAAATAATTTCAGCCCGGCCTAAAAAACAACCGTTTAAATGGCTTTATTTTGCGTGTTTGTTTAATTTTTAAATACTTTACATATAACCACAGTCTCAAACAAGTCAAATACTGGACTAATCATTGTCTGATTGCTTCAAAGAAGCGTAACACGCTTATTGACCTATTTCGTGACACTCAGATTATTTCAGCCCGGGCTGACATTTCAGCCCGGATTGATGATAAATATAGCTCTGACTAAACTCAGCCCGGATTGAAACTGCTCATGTAATCGTGATGCAATTTCAGCTCGTTTAACCGGGCTGAAACTCAGCCCGGGCTGAAAACTCTCCATGTAATCAGCCCCTTAAATTTTTAAAAAGATTGTTTTTACCCACCTACATTATATACCCTGATTTTTTCACGACATGAAACCGGAACCACAGGATTTTTTGTTAAGCCTATAACAGGGAGGGCGCTAGGTCTCCTTAATGTAATGATATATGTTTGGGTTACCTGTGCTGTAGATAGTATAAATAAGGTGACTGAGGAATTTAATAGACATGATAAACAGATATAGTCATATACCGCCATCTTGTATTCGGAGTTATTACATGGTGTCAGGAGTAAATTAAACTAGATATGGATAAGTTAGATCCTCCTAAGTCTTTGATATTAACAGGAAATTTAGCTGAAAATTGGAGAAGGTTTAAACAGCAGTTTGAAATCTATCTGATAGCATCGGGTTTAGACAAAAAGAACGGAAAAGTTCAAGCAATGGCGTTGCTTGTATAATACATTCAGTGTATAATACATTCCAGTGGGACACAGCAGGGGATGATGTCGAAGTTGATAAAACAATGGAGAAATTTGAAAGATATTGTAATCCAAGAAAGAATTTAACATTTGATAGACATTCGTTTTTTACAAGAAACCAACAGGAAGGTGAGACAATAGATACATACGTTGCTGAACCAAGAAATAAATCCTCTAGATGTGAATTTGCTGATCTTAAAGATGGATTAATTCGCGATCGAATTGTATGTGGGATAACTAATGACTCTGTAAGAGCACGTCTGCTTCAGGAATCTGATTTTTAAAAGCTTGGAGAAATGTGTAGATATATGTAGGGCATCTGAAATGAAAAGTCAGTACATGCAGTGCGGGTTGAAGATAAGGCGGGTCAAAGTGATACATGGAAGGAAAAGAGAGAAGAGAAAAGGGATAAAACTGGTAATAATATTTGTAACTATTGTGGTTATCGACATAGGAGAGGACGTTGCCCAGCATATGGTAAGAACTGCAATACATGCAAAAAGTTGCATCATTTTGCCAGTATGTGTAAAGCAAAAGAGATAAACTTTATTGATAAAACTGATGAAGAACAAGACCAACATTTTTTTATTGGAACAGTTAACTCGGATGAAGCGATGCAGGACGATTGGTGTGTAAATTTGAAAGTAAATGAGCATACCACCTCATAAGATTGATACAGGGACCCAGTGTAATGTCGTGCCGGCGAGCCTGTGTAGAAAAGTTTAGAGGTAAGCCGATCATCGGCAAAACATCGGCAAAACCGATTAATCGGCTTGTTTTTTCACAATCGGCCATCGGCCGATTGTCTTCCACCATTTGTATGGTCAGCGGTGTAATAAAAAAAATGAAATACAAATAAGTTGATTTCATATTCGCGAAGCCTAATTTATCTTTCGTGCGCATGCACCTAATTCATTTCGTGCGAAATTTTTCGTATTTCGCCGAAGAAAGCGCCCGTGGAATCAAGCTTTAACATGCATTTACTACAGCTACAACTGTTTGTGACTATTTTACATATATGAATTACTGTAGTTCATGTCTTCTGGCACAACATTACGTACACGAACAAACTATATTACCAGTAACACCGTACTCCTTTTAACAGCAAACTGAATGATACAGTACACTGCAATCGATAAGATTGCAAGCATAAACGCCCAAAGTTGGTAAGGTCGTTCTCCAAATACTCCATGGTATATATAGATCAAACAAAACACTATAAAGAAACATAAATGACATGCTAAATCCAAATTGAAGTAAACCTTATTTTAATATTTCAAGCTATGAATTATCAAATTAGTAACTTATTACATAGAGAATAATACATGGGTGCTTGGAAATCCCAGATTTATTTCGAGTGTTGAACATGATATCTCACGAGTGAGCGCAGCGATGTCATGTTCAACACGAGAAATAAATCTGGGATTTCCAGGCACCCATGTATTTTTCTGTTTATTATATGAAGGACAGTCTTTGAAATGCGATAATTTTTACAGAAAAGCGATAATTGAAAAGCGATAATTTTCACATGTGAGATTATCATAAATAATCTCACATGTGAGATTATCACTTTTATCAGTGCTCGACATCTCTTTAAGCACTATACTTTATATAATAAATGACAATAGAGTATGTGGGAGGCCCCTCAAAACGTCTGGACGAAAGGCCTTCGCTCGAAACATCGAAGTTTGTTGTATTTTTCAGGGGCCGGTTGTACGAAAACCCATAGCGCTATCCACCAGATAGGTATTTTTCAAGATTTCTTAAATTGGCCATTGAATAGTTTAACAAAGATAAAAGTTCGATAAAAGTATTAATCCCGCTCGGCTATATTTACACTAGGGGAAAGGAAAGCATTAGCGAGGTTTAAAGCTCATCAATGATCGCGGGCGTGTCATTATATGTTTCATGGGTGAACCTCCCACTGATCTCAAAAGTATGGCCAATTTCAGGAGTGGATCAGTGGAATGAGTGTGATTGGACAAAAAAACATCAATGAGAAACCCGAAAAAATCGTTTAATGGGACGAGCAGCAATCTCGTACCCAGAGCAATGCCTATGCGCGGGCTAGGATGGCATTGTCTCTGGGGAAATTGACAACCAGAACCCCTAAATTTAGGGGTTCCGGTTCTTTGTCGGCATGCACGATTGATGAACGTTAAACCAATCACAGCACAGGAAAAATTCAATTTCCCCAGAGCCAATGCCATCCTAGCCCGCGCACAGGCATTGCTCTGGGTACGAGATTGGACGAGCAGCTGAACAGTTTATTTGTTTTTGCTTGATAACAAACGAATAGGGGCATTATAGATGGCAGGTAATCCTAAGGTAAGTTAGCTCTTAAGATTGATGTAATGTTTGCTTTAAAAAACTGATGTTGCGTCTAATAAAAATGGCAGCGTATTCTCATGCGCATTATTTTCATAAATTATCATTTTTAAATAAAGAGGAAAACAAAGTTATTTTCATGAGAAAATTGCGTGATCGTTGTTATTTGACACTCAAGTAGAAGCGATATTATGTGATAAAATTATGTGTGGCAGTTTTATGAACTTTTTAAAACGTTTTGCGAAGAGCATGCATGTTTTTATAACGGACTGCAGCATGTTTTCTCTGGTAGGCATAGTATTTCGAAGACAACGATCCACATTATAGTCCGTTTAGAATCCCTTCGGTTATAGATACCCTGAAAACGGTTAACATTTTAATTCGACGCTTCGACTAGCTTGCAGTCATCATCAGGAATGAGGCTACTAAGAAATACAAAACTATATAATTATACAAGATCAAATGAAATATGATATATCCAGGTGATCTTGATACGCGGAAAAGTACTGGCACTAGTTGTCAAATAGAAATCCATTTTATGATTAAAACAACTGAATATCTCCTGTAACATACTTTATTTCGATTCCATATTTTTTTAAGTTCCGGTCTCTGGCGATGAATATATAGAGATTATTTGAAAAGTAATAAAGACCAATGTCTGGATTTGTTGAGAATAATTGATTCAGAATTGAAGTCGTCTAGATTAAATAGTGTATGAGGAAGATTAAATAGCGTTCTATAATACAGGAAGTGTTCCAACTCTATCGACAAATTGACGGAATATCTATGGGGTCTCCCTTAGGGCCTACTCTAGCTGATATCCTAATGACTACTTTCGAGGATGAAATTGTGAGACCACTAATCTCCTCTAACAAAATCAAATTCTACTCACGCTACGTAGACGACACATTAGTACCGATTAGACCATCTTACATACGTACAGTACTACAAAAATTCAATGCTTTTCACCCACAAATTCAATTTACACACGAAGAATTCACTGACAATAACGACATTCACTTCCTTGACATCAAAATCTCTTCCTCGGGCACATCAATTTATCGCAAGTCAAGACACACTGGTCAATACGTCCATCCTGCCTCGTCCCCAGTCGCTTGCTATCAAATAATTAATTAGTAAAAGACGAAAATTAATTTTTTTCGTCTTCCCAGCATGCATCACAACAGATTTGTTCAGCCACTGATCTATATATTAAACTGATATGTCTATATATACACTGATCTACAAATAGTAAGGGCCTGCGGAGGAGGCAGACGTCCATCTCTCCAGTTTCACTCCATGGTGCAGAAAAACAGCATGGCTTAGAGCACTTGTCTATCACGCACATAAGATATGCAGTAGCCTGCGTAGCCGGCGGTTTTAAGGGCTGGGCCTCCCTAATTTTCGTTGCCAGCGCTTCAACCCCAACCCTTAAAACCGCCGGCTACGCAGGCTAGATATGCAGTAACAGCGTGTTACTCAAAACTGAACTGCAGAACATTGCCCAATTTGCGTCATGGAATGGTTACCCCCGTCGTCTGGCAAATAAACTCAGAGTCCTTCACACCAAAGCCAAGCCCTAATGACAACACCACCATCACCATCAACACCAAAGATAATGTCACAGAGCCCACCAAAATCTGGATTCACTAAAATAACACGCTTGCTGAAACAACGCGCTCAATTACCACACCACCAGCATGCACCAACACCTTCCTGAGCATGAAAGACCAGACTCCTAAAGAACTACAAAGTAGTGTGGTCTACAAATTTAGCTGCCCTGGATGTCAAGCTTCCTACATCTGAAAGATAGATCGCTGTCTGATGACAAGGCTAAAAGAGCATGCCCGCAGTAAATAATCAGAGATTTACAAACACATAAATTCATGCGAACACTTCCTGTATTATAGAACGCAATTTAATCTTCCTCATACACTATTTAATCTAGACGACATCAATTCTGAATCAATTATTTTCAACAACTGTAGGATATTATATACAAATCCAGACATTGGTCTTTATTACTTTTCAAAGAATCTCTACTCATCGCCAGAGACCGGAATTTAACCACGGATGTAAAGCCTCTATAAAGGAACTCATAATTTTTAACTTTCAGATATCATATTTCATTTAATCTTGTATATACCGGGTGGCCCAAAAAAAAGTACTCCTGTTTGATTCGTAATAACATCTAAACAAGTATAGCTTTTAAAGAGAAATAACTTGCATCAAATAGAGGAAGGACTAACTTAGACTTTAATATATTACAGTTGTATTTCACTTAAAAATTCACGGAGATATTAATCTTTAAATTCGGGAGGATATTTCTGGATGTGTCTGAAATATGCAAAAATCGGCGTATCAAATATTAATCAAGATTTGCCCGACTGAAACATCCACTATTACCAGTAAATAAATGACACTTGACAAATTGTTTATTATGAAACAAAGTATTATTATATCTACAAAATACAAAGTTCGTAGTTCTGAATTAGGGCATGCTGTCACAACGGAATTGTGAAGCTCTTCTAACTTCTGCAACGTTCTGAAATCTTGTTAAGAACACCCAAACTCTTTTGCCGTTTCTTAATCTTGGCAAGTTCATGGAGTAAACTGAGAATTATATGAAACACAATCAAACCATACAACTCCATAAGACATAACAATTAAGCAACTCCCCAGAGACATGCAACATTTTTGGAAGAAAACGTAACAAAATAGTAGCGTTGATACGGTGATGTGTATTTGCAAAAAGCAATATTATTTCCTTCAATAAAGAATATTCATCCTGCTCTAACCGAGAAATAATCTACTCAGTCTGTTTGAACCCATTAAAAACATAAAAAAATTAGGCTATTTAAGAATACGAAAAATTTAAGCGCCTGCCTTCCATGGTCAGTCTTTCATGTACATTTAAGTTTGCAAAGACCTAATATTAAATACTTGCATAATTTCGAACGTTCATATTTCAGGAAACAATGAGCTAAGACTTACATGTAAGATGTCTAAATCTACGCCATATCCCTTACAAACCTTAACGATAATTCGCTGAAATACAAGTTAGCCTAATATGTCATTAAGCAAACAAACGCTGGAGTTAATATTTGATATGTCGATTTTCGCTAATTTTAGACACATTCCAAAATATGCTCCCCATTTTTAACATTAATATATCCGTGAATTTTTAAGTGAAATACAACTGTAATATATCAAAATCTAAGTTAGTCCTTCCTCTATTTAATGCAAGTTATTTCTCTTTAAAAACTTTACTTGTTTAGAAGTTATTACGAATCAAACAGGAGTACTTTTTTTTGGGCCACCCGGTATCATATATAACAAATGATAATAATTAATACTTAAATGAATCATTTGATATGCAGAATTTAATAACAATTTCATACATAGAAATACTACCAGTAAGTCAGTTTTTGCCTCAATTATCATTTTAATGGTACTTTCAAAACTAACACTACCGCAGAACAACAGAACAATCTGCCGATGGGGAGACAAAATCTATTTTGTTGACATTTTTGTTTAATACGTCAGCTTTATATGACACCATTCATTGTGTAAATGATTAAGATTGCAATTGTTTAATATGTCAGCTTCATATGACACCATTCTTTTTATAAATGATTGACTTGATACTAAGATTGTACTCAGTCAGAACTGTAAAACTATATAATAAGAAAGAAATTGTGAGCATTATGGAAAAAAGTCAAATAATTTTTCATTCGTGTACAATTGTGTGTTACAATTTGGATATCATACTGCTCATTTGACCTTATGCATAATGATGTGACAAGGCTTGATGCCTGCCAGGAATGCTGGTCTTAAGCTATGGGCAAACTAGGAAACGTTGCAGAAACATTTGTAATTGTCGATGTTTCCTCAGACGTTTCCCTATTCGCCCACCCTGTTCGTCCACCCTGTTCGTCCACGCCTGTTCGTCCGCAATAACGTTTCCTAGTTTGCCCAGGACTTTAGTAATCGCCCAGGAAAATTAAACAATCCAAAATGGCCACTATTGAAATTTTCCTGGCCATCAAGCCTTAAGACGTCATTATGCATAAGGTCTATTGATTTGATATACAGACATTACAGTAAAGCCTTGCCCTTGCATAAAAGAACCAGTAGGTTAAGAACCACTAGCCTGAAATTTGGGCAATTGAGCACCCAAAATGCAATGTGTTGAATATAAAAAAGTATAGTGTGAAGTAAGACAATATACGAACCACTTCAGCCTGAAGTCAAAATTCACTGGTTCTTTTATACACGGCTTAACTAATAATTACTGCATATCATATTCCCATAATTAAATAATAACAATATCAATAATCATTTTACTGTAATATAATAAATATATATATAACTATTTTTATTGACAATTTTCTAATTTACATACAACCTACATATTTGTAAAATTTGATATACAATACCTTGTTGGCTTGATCTTTTGACAGAATCAGTACAGAAGTGATACAACTTTATTATTGCCAACCGTCGACGATTGTCCAGCTAGCAAGATCACAACCTCGCTAGTATAAAGTATAAAATATAGCTAGTTCACACATAGCTAGCAAGTTTGGTACAGTTACACAGAGTTCACAATTCACTGCTTTTGTGAAAAACATAATATGAACGGCTCCTTTAATTTTGACTTGATTTGATCAAATAATCGCCACGAACACACAACAAAATATACACCTAGAGGAGATAGAATTCGAATTTTTATAATGTATTTTTAATATAAAAACAGACTATCACGTTCATTTACATATATAAATGAAAGTATTCAAACGTTCAAATAACTACTTTTATCAACATACCTTCAAAAATATGATTCTTTTGATAGTTTTCCTCCCAAATCAATTAGTAATATTGTGAAATAAGCCTCGTGCAATGGAAAAGTATGCGACATTGCCATATGGTCATGTCAAAATTAAATGTCATAGCTCCTATGAAGCTACGGTGCACCGAACGCAGCTTTCGGAAGTGATCGGATTGTCATCGTAAACTTCCTGCGTATATAAATTTGTAGACAACGTCATTCGAATTCTGTGACGTCAGAAAATGCGACCCGAATGATCGAACGAACGAACGACAAACAAATCTCAAATGCTTTGGCTAAAATACATAAGTCGCGCGGGGATCTGGCACGAGTAAAAACTGTAAACGTTGTCAAGAATAGGTGGCTGCCATCGCTTCGCTCGGCAGCAATAATATTTATATTATATTATAATATATATATATTATATATATTATAATATATATATATATATATATATATATATATATATATATATATATATATATATATATATATATATATATATATATATATATATATATGTATATATATATATATATATATAAAGATATATATCTGGAATGATAACATTCCGTCATTTGATTGTGAAAACAATGAAGCCTCGACACCAGTCTTTCACGCGGATTGGACGTAAGTCTCAGTCCCTCAAACGTCAGGTTTACGCGGATTGGACGTCAGTTTCATTCCCCCTCTTGCAAACCGTTGCACGGCCAGTATAAATTTGAACGCAATCATGAAAAAATATTAAAAACATGGCCAATTCAATGCAATACATTTTAGGAGCAAACTGTTTTGCTCCTAAAATTTACTGCGTTGAGTTCGCTGTCGGAAAAAGGTCGAGGAAAACTTCCCCGTGTGGAGAAAAGAATAGGCTTTTTCAAATATATTGTGTCGTTCTGGATGCACAAGGAAAGAGATATATTCTTGCGAAGAAAATTTCATTTCACAGGTAGGTAAATTGACTTGCAACTATGACTTTGCCATTTTTCGCGATTGTTTGAATTGTTTTTTAGTTTACCAGTTTTATAGTTATTTTTTAAAGAATTTATTGCGTGATCGGAATTTGCCTGCCAGCAAAATGTAAATAAATATGTATGTGTGTTTGAATATAAATTAGACCATATGGGCTTAGTAAAAAATTATTTTAATAACTACGTTTCGGAGTATAACTCCATCTTCAGGTTAAAAGTGAATAAAGACATAAAAACTGTGATAAAAACTTTCAAAACAATTACAAATTTTATATGTAAGTGATTGTTCTTGAACAGTTGATGACGAAGACAATGACAAATACTTATGTCGTGATTTTTTTTGTCAGCTTCACTTTTCGCTCGCTGTTATCATTCCAGATATATATATATATATATAGAGAGAGAGAGAGAGTTCACTGGTTTTGGTAGGTACAAAGTGCCGGTTGTACTAGCCAGGATGGCGTTATTGATGACGAATCGCTTGTAAAAACGCGGACAAATACTTGCTTGAGTTACGCTTCTGGTATACCCAGTGAACTAAAAATACCTGGAACGCTACCTCCAATAGGATTGGCTTATGATTGGATGAAGCCAAATTTTACCTCCAGCCGCGCGTGTTCTACCTCCAGACACGCGTGTTTGTGTTGCGAGACATTCTCGCGAGACCATTACGGCGAAGTGACTGAATGTTTTTCTCTCGGACGAATGGATCGAAAATTGTCGTTTATTTAGGGTTTTAAGCTATATTTTTGTATTAAAAGTGTATTTAAAACATATCTTGAACCCTACCGACTAAAATTGCAAGGAAGAAAGTAACTGATTGGAGACAACAAGTGCATATTTGAATGACTGGAACGTTTATATGCAGATGAAACTTGAGAAAGATAAGTAATTCTTTATCTTAACGTATTAAACATATATTTATAACAACTTCATTGATTGTTAATTAAACAAGATAAGTTTATTTAATCTGTATCTATCACTTTGTTTGCCTTCGTTGACGATTTGTTCTGTGTATTTCTTGCCGAATGTGAATAATCGCAACATGAAATACTTGTCCGCAAAAAAAACTTTCTTAATGTCTTTAATGTTTATACTTGTTATTTTGTACCTTTAAAATTTAATAAATACTCTACTACAAAACATAATTAAACTGTGGTTGGTAGTTTGATCTTGTTAGAGTACCTTTTTTCCTAAGTTTCAGACGAATAAATTGGAAAACGAATGAGCAAAATAGGGAAATTCACACAAATACTTATGATTAGACCACGGCAAGCTCAACTCCTCGCTCAACTTTTTTTTTCAAAAAAGGAAATTTAATTATGAATTCTACACAAATAAATTAAAAATATTTACTCTTTGTAAAAAATGTACTGGTAGGTGCATTTTACGTCGTTTTAAATCATGTTTTAGTGCATTTTTTTACCCAGTTTTGGAAATTTAAAAAACCCGCGTTCATTTCCGTTACGTGAAAAGACTGGGCATGACAACAGTGGGCATGCCTGGGCATGGCTTCACATTTCCGGCTGGAGGTATCGTTCCAGTTATTTTTAGTTCAATGGATATACCTTCCTATTCTGTGACGGTGATCGCTAGATAGTATACTTCAAAATAAGATTTTCGTTTTTATAACATAGAAAAAACTATCCTAACACAAAACTAAACCCTAATACTAACCCTTACCCTAACCTAACCCTAACCTAAACCCTAACTTAATCCTAACTTATTTTAAAAATTGATATAAAAACGGAAACCTTATTTTGAAGTATACTATCTAGCAATTGCCATTCTGTGACTAGGCGTACTGTTCCAGTACTTCGTATTAATGTACAACTAAATGAACTAATTATTAAAAAGTAAACAGACCTTTAAACTGAAGAACTTGATTGGCTTGTATACATTGGTTTCTTTGTCATATAGTTCAATTGCTGTTGCTTGTAAATGTTCTATAAACCAGTACTGCGAAGTAGCGAAATTTCGGGCCGTCTTTCACAACAAATAACATCACAATAACTGCACATCATTTTCTCTTTAATACAGAACCATTTTCCCCATCCATTGAGTTATAATTTCCAAAACGAACCAGTCGCTATAACGTAAAATAAGCGGGTATTTGTGAACAAAAATGCTGTTTGATATAACACGAGGTAACCAGCGTCATCTTGTCTTCTCCAAACATTACAGATTTTCCCGCCAAAACCCGCCTCCAAAGTCCCGTATGTACCTGACGTCACAAGTGTCATCGACGGGGGGGGGGGACTACCATATTTTGTGGTAAATTGTTTTCAAAAATACGCACTAAATCCAATTTTAATCTCTTTACCTTCGCTACTTTTGCTTTCCACCAGCCAACAAAACTGGCTTCTTAGCACATGCATAGCATACACTTTATATAATACTTAAAGTGCCTTGACACAAAATTTCACCCCAAATGTTTATGGTTGCATTGTAAAGATCACTTTAAATGACTTGATAATTTCTTTTATAGAATTTTGGTAACTTGCTTCCTTTGCGAGATATTCAACTTTGTTTCATATGCAAATATCACCTGTGTGACATCACATCACATAATGAGTTTTCAGAAAAGTACAGTTTTCTTGACGAATACGTAACTAAAAAACTTCAAAATTGCCCTTGTATATTTATTAATTTCATAACTGGTAATTAACCCTCTGTATTTGTTTGTAAAAATATTTTATCAAGGTAAAATGTTGCGTTTTCAAAATGTCATTATGCGATGTGATGTCACACGGTCGGTGATATTTGCATATGAAACAAAGTTGAATATCTTGAAAAGGAAGCAAGTTATCAAAATTCTATAAAAGAAATTATTAAGTCATTTTAAGTGATCTTTACAATGCAATCATAAACATTTGGGGTGAAATTTCGTGTCATAGGCACTTTAAAAAAATGGACCTAAACTATATTGGAGCGACAACAATTTTGGAAAGTTTCTCCGGAAATTTTTCTAACTTGATGAAAAAACTTTTTCATTTCTTTTTTTCTTTTCTTTTTTTCACATTATTGTACGTTGGAACAGCACTATAGTATCAATAGTATCAATGTATAAATATATATATATATATATATATATATATATATATATATATATATATATATATATATATATATATATATATATATATATATATATATATATATATATATATATATATATATTATCGGAAACTGACCTTATTATTATTTAGCACTAATTCAATTATAGTAAATTTTAGATTAATTAGGGATATTACATTACAAACGAATATAGACAATTATGATTGGGCAAAGTAATCACGTGATTAGGGCAGCATGGAAGAAAGTAACTGATTGGAGACAACAAGTGCATATTTGAATGACTGGAACGTTTATATGCAGATGAAACTTGAGAAAGATAAGTAATTCTTTATCTTAACGTATTAAACATATATTTATAACAACTTCATTGATTGTTAATTGAACAAGATAAGTTTATTTAATCTGTATCTATCACTTTGTTTGCCTTCGTTGACGATTTGTTCTGTGTATTTCTTGCCGAATGTGAATAATCGCAACATGAAATACTTGTCCGCAAAAAAAACTTTCTTAATGTCTTTAATGTTTATACTTGTTATTTTGTACCTTTAAAACTTAATAAATACTCTACTACAAAACATAATTAAACTGTGGTTGGTAGTTTGATCTTGTTAGAATACCTTTTTTCCTAACTTTCAGACGAATAAATTGGAAAACGAATGAGCAAAATAGGGAAATTCACACAAATATTTATGATTAGACCACGGCAAGCTCCACTCCTCGCTTAACGTTTTTTCTCAAAAAAGGAAATTTAATTATGAATTCTACACAAATAAATTAAAAATATTTTACTCTAGAGTTTTGAAGGATGTTTTTATTGTAAAAAATGTACTGGTAGGTGCATTTTACGTCGTTTTAAATGTTTTAGTGCATTTTTTACCCAGTTTTGGAAATTTAAAAAACCCGCGTTCATTTCCGTTACGTGAAAAGACTGGGCATGACAACAGTGGGCATGGCTTCACATTTCCAGCTGGAGGTATCGTTCCAGTTATTTTTAGTTCAATGGGTACCGTATTTACTCGTTTGAGCGCCGCCCCCGATTGAGCGCCGCCCCCGAATGAGCGCCACATTTGAGATCATTTTTTTTAAAAGAGCGCCGCCCTAAGCAGTGTCAAAATGGGGACATATGGTAACAAAAACCTTTTAAAACTTGTCTATTTTATAGTTAAAAGTTCTTGTCATAATTCACAAATAAAATATTTTTTAAAGAGCGCCGCCCCCGATTGACCGCCGCCCCCGAATGAGCGCCACATCTGAAGCTTTGAAAATTTAAAGAGCGCCGCGGCGCTTAAACGAGTAAATACGGTATACCTTCCTATTCTGTGATTAGGCGTACTGTTCCAGTACTTCGTATTAATCAGATATGTGAACTCACCCGCATTGAGTGGGTGACACCCGCATTTTGGAATCATCACACACGGAAAAATTGGCACATAAAATCACCCGCATTAGCAAATTTTATAGCAATTCACCCGCATTCTGTGATTCTGTCTTCTGATTCTTGATTCGTTGTTCTGTTTTTGGTTGGTAGAGTGTATGCATGCACACATCTACTTCAACTAGACTTAACTCTTAAGACGTTTGTATACATCTGTTTTGTCATAAACAAGAATATAAATATCTATGGAAGTTAGAAATATGGGGCTTAGCAAGGCTTTTATAAATCACCAATCAATTTTCTCAACAACAAAAAATGACGTCATGTCAAAAATTATATATCACCCGCATTTTTGTAACTTAGGGTTCACATCTCTGTATTAATGTACAACTAAATGAACTAATTATTAAAAAGTAAACAGACCTTTAAACTGAAGAACTTGATTGGCTTGTATACATTGGTTTCTTTGTCATATAGTTCAACTGCTGTTGCTTGTAAATGTTTTATAAACCAGTACTGCGAAGTAGCGAAATTTCGGGCCGTCTTTCACAACAAATAACATCACAATAACTGCACATCATTTTCTCTTTAATACAGAATCATTTTCCCCGTCCATTGAGTTATAATTTCCAAAACGAACCAGTCGCTATAACGTAAAATAAGCGGGTATTTGTGAACAAAAATGCCCTTTGATATGACACGAGGTAACCAGCGCCATCTTGTCTTCTCCAAACATTACAGATTTTCCCGCCAAAACCCGCCCCCAAAGTCCCGTATGTACCTGACGTCACAAGTGTCATCGACGGGGGGGGGGACTACCATATTTGGTGGTAAAATTTTTTCAAAAATACGCACTAAATCCAATTTTAATCTCTTTACCTTCGCTACTTTTGCTTTCCACATGCCAACAAAACTAGCTTCTTAGCACATACATAGCATATGCTTTATAAAATACTTAAAAAAATGGACCTAAACAATATTGGAGCGACAACAATTTTGGAAAGTTTCTCCGGAAATTTTTTTTTGACAACTCGGGCACAATCGACAAAGTCGGGCAAATTTCTTTCCACCCCCTTATTTTTTCCTTCCTGTACGCCCATGACGATTGTTGTATGCAACTTGTTGACACCATCCCTGCGACACAAATTGTGCCGTATAGATAGCCCTACAACTTGCTTATGACAGTCGTATGCAACACAAAAAAGTTGTAAATATTTTAAATACATTTTTATGAAAAAATAGTTCAAAATGGCGGACATCTACAATGAGATGAGAGAAAGCGAAATTGGCACACCTCTTGTTCAAAGTGTGACCAAGGCAAAGTGAAAAAAAAAGTAGAAAGAGGGTCTAATATATCTCTCGGTTGGAAAAGTCGCATACAATAATCATACTGTCTAGATAGATGACACAAAGTCGCAGGGATGGTGTCAGGTTCTTACATTTTGTAAAGTAGTAATATAAAATAGTTTTTTGCAATAGCTTTCAGCAATTCAGGCTGGTAGTGTATTCAGCAAAGGCGTTGCATGCATGCAAAGTGAAACAAGGTCGGGGATCATATTCAAAAAAAAATTTCCGATCTACCGACCCTATAAATTTTGTCACCATATGAAACTGGAACCACAGGTATTTTTTTCTTACATCTTAGCAAGATCTCGCCGTGTAGTAGAATTTATAGTAAAATTCCTGTGCATTTATATGGATAACCAGGGTGAAAATTTCCCCATATAAACACTAGCAAATGGGATGGCCCGGTTGCTCGGATGAAACATTTTCGATAGTTTGAAGTCTTTTCTGCAACTATTTTTATAGTTCTTGACATTACATAGGTAAAAAAGACAAAACAAAAGGTTGCAATGTGCTTCAATAGCTGTAATGTTTACAAAATTTGAAATTTGTTCTGGCAACACCGACCAATTGAGTGAAATGTAAACAATTCCTAGCCTGGCAAGCGGCATAAAATCTCCTCATATAAACGCAAGCAAAATTCATCCTGTGTCTTGTTTGGCGGGCCAACCGGCTTCCATATTCAGCCCCATAGAAATTTTTCTTAAAATATTTTAAAATCCCACCTGACTTTTTTAACTCTCAATAGTTCATTACACATTCATTGGTTAGGGTTAGAGAAGGGGTTGGGGTCTGTTTATACAAATAGCAAATCAAACTCGCTAAGGGACCAGGTCCATATTCATGTTGCCACACATTACGTAGAATCGACATTATCTTGTAGCAATTTGACTATTTACATCCAAACAGACCAAAGTTTAAATATTTAATGTTTGCCGTGCACTTTTGCCAGTATTATATTATTTTCAACTAATAGAGGCCAAAACAAAGGTTGAAGTATTGAAGCGACGTTTCATGTCAAATACCGGTCAATTACGTACAAATACAGTGAATAACTTTGAATTGAAGCCTCAGCATTTTAATGCATTCTGAGATAAATTGATTGATTATACACCATATTTCAGCTGCCATTTTGCTTTTGAGCTCTTTTAGCGGTCAAAATACGACAGGGTAACGATCGACGTTATCTGAGGTGGGTACCGGTGATAACGTCAATTCAATGTTATGCGTGGCAACACGAGTAGTAGAGTACTTCAGATTAATATACAACTAAATGAACTATTTATCTAGTATCCAATACTTCGTATTAATACACAACTAAATGAACTAATTATTAAAAAGTTTTTACTAGCATCCAGTGGGCCATTCCATTTAATATCCACACCCACTGTTGACGAGGTTTCTGATTTTAGACCCCTTCAGAAACGGTTTTCTGTAAGCCCCCCTCGGAAATGGGTTGTTCCAGAAAAGATCCATACTCCCCACACCAGGGCTCGAATTTTATCGCGGCAATTGCCGTAGAGGGAGAACAAAATGCCGTGGATCATTGTAGCAACGACGGCAATTTTTTGCCGTATAGTGCAATTTTTATACTATTCACTGTGCATTATTATTTTGATACTTGAATTCAGATGTTGATCAAATCATGCGTAAATCACTATTTTAGTCTCAGTTTTCTTCGAAAAAAAAAAACACTAAAGAAATACGTAGACATGTTTCTAGCTTGTCAAAAATCCAAAGTAACAATAAAATTAAAGTTTTATTACAGTAATTTGAAAAATGCCGTGGAAACTGTCAAAATTGCCGTAGACAGCTGTTACGTTCTACGGCAATTTTTAACGCCATTGCCGTCGATTGATTTCAGGGAAATTTGAGGCCTGCCCCACTGAGGAAATTTCTGCCATCTGGAGAGGGAGGGGAGAAAAAATTGTTTCTGATAATAGTAAATGTATTAGGACATCCGAAGGGGGTAGGGGGGTTAACTTCCTATTTCCTCTGTGGGGGTGGTATGGATGCTGGAATGACACCCGACTGCATTCCACCTTTTCTCACCGCCAAAGATTCACACCAGAAATTCAGCTTTAAAACTATATCCGCCAAAGACTAATTATATCTAAAGCGGCCAAGTTACGTGCGCCAAAG